AATTAAGGCCTTAGTTTTATTTTGAACAATTCAATGCTTTTTAAGACTTTTTAAGGACCCGCGGGAACCCTGAGTTCTGCACTGTGAAGCCTCTTGAACTGTGGGGATTGTTGAAGCACTTAACTCTAACAGTTCAACGCTTCATGAACCTTTTCAAACACTTTCAGACATTTCAGCTCCATAACCCTGGGGAAATGAAAAAAGAACTTAACCTTTTTACAGATAATAGATGCTTCAGTGGTCTAACATTATTCAGATAAAGAGTCAGAGATGGAAAACCAGATGACCCCATGGAGGCTGACCTGATTGCTCACATATAGTTTAGCAGAAGAAACACGCTCTCTGTATAAAATAATATACATTTATTGTTTTGTATACAAGAATACTTTATATCAGTTGACAAATAAATGTACATGTTGGTAATGTATGAAGTGTACATGCCATGAGTGCAGCAAAGCTCAACAGTACCTCAACTATAAAAGCTTTTCTCTCTGATTCGCTCTCGATGGTCTTGATGGCAACATCATTGCCTTTCCACTTGGCTTTGCAGACCACTCCAAAGGCTCCTCTCCCCACCACCTACACCGGAAATGAACAACATCATCACCATCAGGATCAGAGCAATCACCACATTAGTTCAAATCCAGATCCTACCTCTTCAACTTCAATGTCCTCATAGTTGATTTCTTCAAACGGATACCCAGGTGGTGTTTCCAGCATGTCAGATGGTGGCAACGCTTGAGACATTACTAGCTCAAATAAGCTAGTAACTTGCTAAAAACAGATATTACTACATTAGAGACAAAGTTGGTAACTAGGTTTAAAAAAAAAAGCCTAACAAAACGATCTGGCTAAATGAGATGAAGATGAATGAAAGAAGCGCAGTGTTATTAAAACCATAAAGCGCAAGTCTAATTCAGTGAATTATTGAGTGAGCCATGTTTATAACAGTCTGTCTGGTGTTATGACAGCTGCCTGCTCAGCTGGGCTAACAGTAACAAACCCTCACAGCCCTCTGCCTGCTGCCTCAGGGAGAACCACTCCGGTGGTTTCCTCGATGAAAACCTCCTATTATCAAGCCAAGGTGGAACAATCCACCACTTAGGCTCCAATAGACTCCAGTCACAGGTAAACGGGGTTTTTTCCACTAAGGCCTACAGCTTACAGCTAGCTATCTTACTTTAGCCTCCTAGCCAGGTAGCTGCTGCTAGCTACAGGGAGAATCCAACCCTTCGTCGTAGATGTGTCAGCAGCGCCGGGTCGTAGACATTCTCTACCACTCCTGTTCCGGAAGCAGAAGAATAACGTCCATCCTTAGAAAACGTTTCTCCCTGTCCACCGGACAGCCGGACATAACTTCTTCTAAACTCGCCAAGCTGCCTTCTTCTTTAGGTGTTATTCTTCGCTGACGCTCGGCAGCTCCAGCAGGATGTGTGTGCACCCTGGAATACTGTCCCCTGGAAACTAAACACTAACGATTTGGCTTTCCTTCCAAAAATACAAACACCCATACACCAACTACAACTGCAATAAAATAAAATTAAATGAAATAAAATAAAATAAAATAAAATAAAATAAA